ATGACTCATCACTCAACTCCAGGAGCTCCGAGGCAATCCCAGTAAATAATTTTTCACTGCCGTCCTTACCCTCCGCCTCGGCAACGGCAAACACATCACCATTCACATCAACAAGACTGGGGACACGGAGCGAGCTCACTGTTTTTTCTTCCTTCTTATCTCTCCAAACAAAATATGGCTTTGGTGAAGATCCCTGACCTGACTCTTGACCCACGGCGGTCGCAGCCACACCAGTGCCGCAGCACATCATCACGACGAGGAGGAGCAGTGCTGCGGAAGTAAACACACGCCGGGACATGTTGGGCCTCGGCGGCTCACCCTCTCTTCCTTCCCTCCTCCTCCCGCTGGATCCGGTCACGCGGCGACGGTTGTGTGTGCGGGGTGCCTTCACAGCAGCAACACGTGAGAGCATATAAATATGTGTATGTGGGCGGTGTGTGTGCGTGTTGTTGGTCCTTTCAGAGCCTTCAAATTTCACAGTGGCGTTTAGCGTTTGTTTTCCTTCTTCGTGTGTAATTGAGAAAAATAGAGAGACAAAATGCCGGGAAGAGAGGCAAGACAGTGAACACCCTCACCCATCAACAGTGAGTGGCACCATCATCCCCGCCGCAGACACTCCCAACAACAACAACTCACGCACAGACACACGAAAAGGAATGAAAAGGGAGAACAATACACCGGGAACACACAGCGACGGTCGCCACCACCAGCAGCAGCTGAAGTCACAGCAGGAGTGACGTTACTCGTTACACTTCAGCGCACACCGAGCAGCGTTCACACAAAAAACACAACCAGCAAAATGCAAAAAAGCACGACCGCCCTTCACAGCACCCACGCGCTGCCGCCAGTCGTTTTACTGTTGTTTCTTCCAGTGCCACCAATGGTCTTGTTTTCACTTCGAAGATTGTTGCAGTCTCCGGGCACAGTACCCGGAGCGGCTAAACTTGTTTCAGAACAGCCAACACCGTAGACGCCGCAGCACAGCACACAGAGGGCACATAGCAACAGCAGGCGGCCAGTGATCAAATTCATCACGGCTACACATACAGTCTAGAGGGGCACGGAGAGAAGGATGAGAAGAACACACACCCAAATCAGCAGCGGCAGCATGGAAGAGAAGGAGCAGCGTTTGCATGAGGGTTGTTGTCATGAGCATCGGTGACGCGTGCACGCAGGAAAAACAGGCAACAATGAAACACCGGACAGCACGGCGCACAACTCCATGGCTTTTAAAACCCTCCTGCAGCTGCCCCTAATGGAAAGAAAAGAGGACGCCACGGTGCGGCAGGAACACAGTGATGACGGCGCAGAAAAGAATGCCAAACCGGCGTAAAAAAAAAAAAGCAAAAACAAGGCCTTCCCCCACAGCGGCCACATCCAACAACGCAAGTAATAATAATAACAGAAACAAACACCACACACGGCAATTCACAGCGGCAGTGAGTTCCCTGTCGCCAACCTTCATGGCTGCTTGCCCACTCACCTATCGGGTGTCCATCGCTCCGCCGCCTTCTTCCTTCCCGCGGCACACAATCGGGTCCATCCGCACCCGTCGCCACGCCGCCCTCAACGACCCAACAGGCAACCGCCCAACGACTGTTGCAGACATCACACACCCGCGCCAAAGCACGCGACACAACATCATGTCACGTGGCCCCTCCGTCGGCAGCACGTCATTTCAACCGTTTGGCCGACACACGGAACAATCAATCGACAGAACAGAGAAGTAAGGCAGGCACTCAATCAAGGACCTCCACACACACACGCACGGCTCTATTGATGCCGCCGCTGCTGCCACGGGCACGGTACCCGAGCGGAAAATTACAAGCAGTAAGAAAAGCCTCGTCAGAGAAAACCACTCCACACATCCATATGAAAACACTCAGGCTGCAGCAGCTGCAGGGTCCATGGAAAAAAATGCGCCTTACTGAATCCCGCCAGTTATGTCAGTCTCCGTTCTCACCAAAGCCACGCATAATGCACGGCGTGCGTCCACAGGCATCCACTCCCGGTGCCCTAACAATACTCCAGAAACAAACGCAATAAGAGAAATGTGAAAAAAGACCTCACACGATGCCACCGCAGCAGCGAGCACATCACAAGACAGCACCACGCCACGCACCGATGTTTTGCTCTTCCACACGCTTCATTTACCGCACACCCCAAAACACACAGAATGGGAAGCGCAAAGGATCATTACACAATGCAAAAGCAATATAAATAAAAACAAGAAAATCGAAACCCACACAGATCCCTCGCACACGCACACAAACACCCCACGGCATTCATTACAATAAGCAAAACAATGTTACCCCTAAACCCAATAAAAAAAGTGTGGTGCCGCCACATGAGCGACCAACACAAAAAAGAAAGAGTGTAGAGCATTTCTCTGGTGCAAAGCATAGAGACAAGCAGAGCGTATATACTGAGAGAGAAATATCAATTAATAGAGGCTTTTCTCTCTTCCACCCACTGCTAGGTGCGGGCCACGCAGGACGCAAACGCAGTCGCATCGCCGTGCAACGGAATCCATGCAGCCACTCACTATAGTGTTGGTACGGCGGCGGCAGCGGCAAGTGGAAGAAACAGCGGACAGGGACAAGCAGCTGCCGCACTGTTATCGCCGTGGATCGGAGGCGGAAAGTCTGTCAGGTCTCTCTCCCAACCCCCGCGCTCCACCGCCGCTTCATCCTCCCTTGGAGGGTCCACGGCGCCCTGCGCAGCATCAGCGGTATCAGAGCTCTTGGGGCCAGTGGTTTTGGCAGCGCCACCGGCCCTGTCGCTGGCGGCCTCATCTCCTGCCGGTTCTCCCACAACAGACGTCACACCATCGGCGGCCACATCGTCGTTGCACAGAAGATCGCTCTCCTTCAAAGCCTCCTGCGGCGCACCCGCGGTGTCGTTGGGCAAGAGCACCCCGTTGCCTGTCGGAGCATCTGGGGCTCACTCAAGTCGACATCCTTCGGTGTGGGGTGCCGCGGCCGGGATCAATGCTCTCCGCAACGGGGACGGATGCCCGTGGCAAAGCTTGTTCAGTAGATGCCGGTGAAACCGTCCTGCTCCACAGCCTCTCTCCTCGCCGTCCCACGGAACCACTGCAGGAAGGCTACCGCTGGTGGCGGATATCGTGCACACCTCCGCGTGGTCACGGCAAATAACGCTTCCCTCATCGTACGGTCGAGTGGCCCAAGCAATCGTCGCCCCGTCCGTGCATGGACCCAACAGACGTTAACCTTTTCAGTCACTCTCAGATGCAATTACATGCCGAGGCACCGCAATGCCGCATGCATGACAGCACTCAGATAAGTCTCCTCCGGGTCCCTCGCATCTGTTGTGTTGGTAGGAAGCGTGTCCAGACACCACGAAGAGGGCTCAACCCCAGGCATCGCAGAAAAACATTCTCCCCTCCCAAATAACAGCGTCAGCATCCCTCACATCCAGTGCGGGATCAATGATGGGGCAGCTGTCCATCGGGCGTTTTGCTGACCTTTCATGGATACTCCGTCTGCACGGCAACCACTGGAATACCGATCCGACGCGCAGTGTTTGACGGAAACACCCAATTCAAGGAACATTTGGCGATATTCACTCATGTTCAGTGCGGATCAATTCCTCTGCAGCAGCCCGACTTCTTGCCGCAACGCATCGGCTCCGCCATCTATCAGTTCACCCTCATGCAGCCCAGGTCAGCCGATGCAGCCAGCAACAGCTCCGTGCAGCAGCCGGCGCCCCCCAATCGGTGCCATCCACTCATCATTCACGTGGCGCTGCGACCAGTGCGACTCCAGCGTCCTCCCGTCCCCATCGTCATCCTGCAGTTCCATGCCATCAATGTCGTCGCAGTCGTGGTGCTCCCTCGCTGCCATCGCGGCATTCGTCGAGTGCACCACCACCACCAGCGCCGCAGCCACGCACTGCGCCATGCCAGAATTGGCAACACCAGTGGAACGATGCTCAGCAGGCACAGTGAACCGACTGCAAACGCTGCCCGTGGTGAGTGACGGCACAATCAACGGACCCTCCAGTGGCTGCACGAGCAGACGATCCGCATGCAGTTTGACAGCAGCAGGGACAACTTCATCCTCGAGAACGTCCCCGTGTGCAGACAACAGGACGTCATCCTCACAGTGGCAATTTTCAGTCAACAAATTCATTGTGTAATACCGCTCTGAAATACAATACTTCCTGGTATCATCCATGTCTCTTGTGGATACGTTGATGCGGATGGTCGCCCACAAATTCCTCCCGATGACGGTGTACGTCTGCAGCGCACCCTCTGCTCCAAAAAGATCACGTCCCTCACAACAACTTGGATCAAATTCGCGCTGTCGGCACGCATCACATAGCCAAAGAATCAAGAGTACGTCAAAGTGAAAGCAAAGCACCGCTGGCAATCACACCAAAAACTTCATCACATGCAGCAGCACCAGCGTCTCAGTCTACTGTGGGGTGTAGAGCAAATAAACGATTGATATGGGTGTTGGGCAAATTTTCCGTGGCTTGCTAAACCAACATAGGCTGATTGCGTGGGAAGAAACAACAAAAAAAACAAAAGAGAAAAGTCATCCATCCGCAATTTAAGCGATCCACCAATCAATGAAAGTGCAGTGGGTTCACTCAACCACACCACAAGTAAAACAAAACAAAAAAAGAAGCCGAAGCGTGGGACGACCAGCGCACACACACTCTCATTCCTCCCGTAAAGCAAAACACACACACAGAGGGAGAGAGAGAGAGGTCGCCCACTCAACGCAATAAAAACAAAACAGAAACAGTTACGGTGCTCCGCCCACGCAGCCAGGCAGGACGGCAGCGGTGCGTGTCGTGCAAAAGAGAGCACCAACGGGCCTGCATGGGTGTGCATGCATATATACAATGGGCACATTATTGTGTGTGCCTCGTGGGGTGAGGTGAGGGCGAGAGTCCATGCAAGGGGACACACACAGAGAGAGAAGGACGAGTGTGTGTGCGGGCGGTGCACGGCTCTCTCCCCCTCACTCTCACGCGGCCACCACCGCAGCAGCAGCCGCACACGCAACAACAAGAAGAAGAAGAAACAAAAGAGGGGAGGTGGTGTGGGAGACCGCGGTGCTGCTGTCACTGTCGCCATACGTCACAGTATCATTTTTTCGGGCGGGGACCGTTTTCGCTGTATATGATGCAGCCTCACTGGCCGTGGGAGCAGCCTTGGTATTTACGGCATCAGGGTCATTGTGTTGTCCTTTGGGTTCAGGCCGTTGAGCATTGTCACCATCCTCACTCTCATTTCTCTTGACGACACCACTTTCACTTGCGGAGGTGGATTGCTCTGATGTTGCCGCTGGGCCATCGGTATGTGCATCCATCTTTATCGCCTCTTTTGTTGTTGTGTCTTCACTGTTTTGCTCAAGCACGCCATCCGCTGAAGGCGGTTTCGGTGCTGCGGACTCTTTTTCGCTTCGTAAAGGTGGCGCTTTGCGCTTTTCATCTGTTGAATTGTGTGAAGCTTTTCGTGCCGGCGGTATTCCTCTTCCTTCTTCTAGATCTCCCGCCTCTCGTGATCGCGCTGCGGGTGTATCTACTCCTGGTGATGGCGATACTGCCGATGTTTGCTGTTCTGGTGACGGTGGTGGTGGTTGTGTCATTGTTACTGTTGTACCTTGACGCTGCAGTTGGCCGTCGGCAGACAACACGCTGGAAGGGCCGTGTGCCTCCACGCCACTCCGTCCTGCCTCGTTTTTACCTGCTTCCTCACTCGTACCCCGAATGTTCGCTTTTTCTTTTTTACGAGAGGACTCTGGATTTTCTTCGAGTTTTGAAACCTTTTGTGTATCTTTGTTGGTCTCTACAAGGATTCTTTCCCGCAGCTCATTTGTTTCTGGAGATTCCAATTTTAAGTTAGGGGGTGCACCGCTTTTATTCTCTGAACCACCAACTTCAGGGGGAATGGAAGATCGAGAAGCACCAACAACAGTAGAAAACTCCGAGGCAGAAACTCCACTTTTGTTAGAATTTCCATTTTCTTCAAAACCGCCTCCAGCACCAGAACTGTCGTCATTAGGGACCAGAGACAAACGATCACCAACACCAGTTTGACCAACATCAGATTCCGGTGGGTCTTGTGGCGCTTTAGGTGCTTTGAGTGCTTCCGGTAACCCGGTTACTGGCGGTGGTGATGGTGGTACCGAAAGTGAATCTGGATAAATATCGGTTGAATCGGAAACACTTTCGCCAGTCGAGGCTTCAATGGCAGTAATGGGCAGTGCTGACCGCAAAGGCACCGTAATCGCAGTTTTATTACATCCGTCAGGCATGTGGGATCCATTCTCACCCAACACTCCCGACGCCATGCAGCCACCCAGTGCGTTGGTGTCAACGTCCCTCGCACAAACACCGCCGGCACCGCACCACAGCACGCAGAGGGCACACACCAGCAGCACACGGCCGGTCATCATCATCGCCATCACTCCTGTCACTTGCGTGCAGCCTTCAGCACAAACTAACAACACGTCAACGCGCACCGTAACAAACGACAGCAGTCCTGCAGAAGCACGCACTTCGACCTGCACATCAAAAGTAAAAAATCAATACCAAAACAATAAAAAAAGGAGTTGAGTGCCCAACAGGAGTCCCTCCGCCAAAAAAGAAAAAAACATACCTCAGCAGAATTAGCACTTCATACGCTATGCAGCAAAACAGCTCTGTGTCTATATATACATGAATACAGTGCCTGCATGAGAAAAAAAATATTACTGTTCCACCAGCCCACACAACACTCCTCACATTTCATACGCCATGCAGCAAAACAGCTCTGTGTCTATATATACATGAATACAGTGCCTGCATGAGAAAAAAAAAATTACTGTTCCACCAGCCCACACAAAACACTCTTCACACTTCATTGCGGCATCCGGCCTGTTCCTCCGCTCCTCCTTTCGTGCAGTCCGTGGGACGCACAGCAATGAGGCCGGCACCGCGTGTGGGCAACAACAAAAAAAACAAGAGGAGAAGCACGTCATTCATGACAGTGTGCAGCAGCCGACCATTAAATAAGCAAAGGATAATTATTATCCCAAACAAACAACATTAAAAAGAACATAAAAAAAACAACCGCAGGGAACGCGGCACATATTCTGTGTGAGAAGTCACAAATCCTCACTCCGTGGCTCAGAAGTCTGCCACAACTCCACATAGACCCAAAAGCAGAAGCAGCAGTGGTTTCTTCACCCACAAGAAGATAATTTTGCCGCTGCTCACCGTCGGCAAAGACATGTCACTTTCGAACAAGATTCCTCTGCTCGCTTAGATCCTCTTTTTTTAAGGGAGATGTGCTCTGTGTGGCGCTGCTGCACGCACTGCTGTTTGTCGGCTCCTTGGCGGCGGAGTCGGGTGCTCGAGGACCATGGATGCTGTCCCGTCGCTGCACACATCGGTGGTGTTGGGCGTCGTGAGGTCAGGATTCATATATTCCTCCGTTCCTACGGAATTATTCGTGCCATCGTAATCCGAGCAGCTCCTCGCCGCAAAATCGCCGACTATCGCATTGAAAGCCTCCTCTTCCGTTAGATCTCGACTTTCTGGTTTCTTATCAGCACGACACGCAATCCAGCTGCTCTCGCCGAATAGGCGCCAGTGCCCACCGGAATCCTTGCTCCCACACGCACCATACAACCATCGCCATCTTTCTTCGCGTACACGTGCGAGCAGCAGCAGCAGCAGTAGAGTGGCTGAAGTCGGTGAGCAGATCTGCGCACAGAGCGGAGAATAGAAAGTCAAAAGAAAAATACAAAGAGGTGCAGCAAAAAGACACACACACACACATCGTCCCGGCGTCGCCGTTGCGTGCGCGGCAATGATGCGACCTCCTGCGGCAGGCACAACTCGCACACTGCACGCACTGCAAAACGGGATCCACGCAAGAAACACACACACACAACGACAGAGCAGCCACCATAAACTAGAAGGAGGAGAGAACCACAATCATCTCCCCCTTAGTCGCACAACAAACGGCCCTCCAATTTTTACGCGAGACAGTTTCTGCAAGCTTGCCATCGTTCCGCTGCACGCTCTCAGCGCCCACAGTGGGAGTCAGCACAGCGTACAAGTGAGAAACAAAACGCATCGCACTCCCGTCTGGGAAAAACAAAATTACCGTGACGACAACAACAACGGTGCAAGAGTGTCGCATAGGAGGATACGATGGCGTTGTTGGCGTCCAGATCAATGACGCGTACCCTCGGAAATACGCGTGGAAGATATGGCACGTACGACTGCAGAGTCGCGTCCACAGATAAACGGTATTCGGAGCCAACACTCTCTTTCTCGGTGGAAAAGATGGGTCAATAATTTCGCCAGAGAGGCAACAGTGCAGAAGGCAGGGTAGAGCAACGTACCGCACACAGGAATCAAATATTTGACTGTCTCATCCCTGGAGAAGTAAAACCAACTTGGCCAGGGTTATCTCGCTCTCTGGCGATGGCACATTCAAAAGAAAAAGACTCACAGTATTGAGGGGACTCGGCAATGCCCCAACGTGCATGCTGCGACTCCACAAGAATGTGGACGGTCTGCATGTGTCCATGCAAGTCACAGCGGATAGGCGCATTATAGGGGATGCTGCTTGAGTGCGCCAAACGACGGTTACTGCCTCATGCCACATCACAGGCAGGCCGTCCCTCATCAATCCCTGCAGGATTCGCCTACACTCCTCCAAGGAGTACTGGGGGCATCGGTTGTGCTGCACGCGGAACGCATCATCTTACACAAGGACTCCATTCACTAAAGGCCGCGGCTAAACATCCCATCCACAAAAATCGTCAAGGGACCGCCACACACCGCGTGCTGAGGTGGAAAACGCACGCGATGAATACGTCTCCGGTAGGTTTCATCGTGAATACACAACCGCTATTCCCTCCGTCACAGCGTCGTCATCAACACAGCAGCAACGCGCCAGTGCCGGCTCTGTTGGGTACAATGGGAGAGAAACTCCCACTCTCCAAGCCATGATGTCAACAAGAGAGTCAGACGGCTGCTCTGCCATGGCGATACCGTGTCCCATCAGGTGCAGCAGAATATCAGAGTCCAGCTGATTGGAAGGCTCGGCTGTCACCCCGCCAATGAGAGAAATGCGTGCCACCACGCGAGGCTCCGCTGGCAGTCCGCCTCCGTATTGTGTTCCCTCAGTAACGGACTCTGCGTCAGCAGCAAGTGAGGCAAACTTCGGTTTGCTCCGTCTGAAATTCCCCCGGCATCTGCTCAATTCACCGCCATGGAAAAACGGCGATGTGCAGCGGCGGAGCATTTGATCGTATCAGCAAACAAATTGGGGAAAAAGAGCTCAAGCACACCCACAAGACTCCCAGCAAGAAAGGGAAAACACAGCGTGACTGACACGACTCAAAGTCATGTTTCTAAGACAAAGCGTGGATGACTCCGTCGACGCCACACACGCACCATATGCCATCAACTCCTCCACGGCAAAAACGAACTGGCAAAAGGGAGAAGACATAAAAACGCTTTTATAAGGCAAACAAGCAAAAAACACCACTGCAGCACCGCATCGCTCACAACGCCGTCAATCGGCCAGAGGCCTTTCGTCTTGAATACCCCAGGCGTACACCGTTCTTATGGCATGATTGTTGAAGGGCGGCCATCCACCAGCCGCAATCCGTCGGTCACACGAAGAGTGCAGGCAACAGGCATATCTGTCGTACCCTCCATCACCCTCAAAAAACGTCGAATTGTCGTTGGCAGGAGTGATGTTGTTTCTGCTCCACGCGTCTCCATCCCCCTGGGAGGAGAGACACGCCGACTGCTGCCACCAGTTCCTCCCTCGCCTCCTCTCACTTCCTCCACCAGCCCATAATACTCCGCAAAGTTGCTCACGGCAGTGTCTCCACCGTTCTGAACGTGAAACGACTTGAACTTGTTCTCCCTGAGACCCAAAGCGACCAAAGCAAAAGCGAGCCGGACATCCAACGGCTGCGCTGGCTCAACCCCACAAAATTGCACCAAGTACACAATGACAGGATCACGACAGCAACAATGCAGAAGAATAAGGTCCAGTGCGAAGATTAGTTTGTGCTGCACACAGTTGCGGTGTCGCTGGAGTTATTGCACCGCCAAAAACAAAAACAATAATCCTGCAGCGTGTGGAGAGGACGTTTTTCACAAGCGCATTATTGGCGGAGCCAAGCAACTGTACCGTCAGCAGAGGGCAGCGAGCGGCGGGAGGAAAGTGAAGGTGGTGAGACTGTTGGGGAGGGTCGATGCGCAGTGTCCCTCACAAATACGAGGCGGGTGAAGTGAAACACACTCGCCTGAACGTCACCGGCCACCACAATGCATTGCTCCCCGCCGTGAATATTGATGAGCTCGAGGCTGAAGCAACTACTCGCAATGCGTGAAAGCGTCTTCCTGCACTGACGCTGCTATTCACATTAGACGGACAACTTCAGAACAGTCGATTCCCAGCAGTAAAATGCGGCTGGCAATGACGCTGTGAATTCTCGATTCCCCGGGCAACAAAGGGCGGAGAAGAAAACTGGTCTCCCCAGCTGCGCGGCATCCATCCATCCACTCTGTGCTTCCGGAGTGCCCCGCAGCTGCCTTGAGAGATGCAGCGGACAGACCTCCCTTATTTTCGCCTCGATCCGTCAACGAAGACTTTCGCGGAGGTGTCGGCACACACCGAAGTCTCCCTCGTGCCCGCCAAACAAAAGACACACACGTTGAGCATCGTCACGCGCGTCGACGGCTACGCAAACAAATACCCACCGCAACGCAAAGTGTTTTTTATTGGGCACAAAAAGAAAACTGGAGGCGGCGGCCTGGACAACACAGACATCAAATCGCACGCCAGGCAACGCTGAAATACATGCGAAAGGGCCAACGCGGGATCAGCAGCACAAACACTCGAGAGCTGCTGCGTGAACTCCACGGTAAATGGATCAGCCTCAACGCATGGGGCACTAATTATGGCGGTTGACAGCGCGAAAGCCAACGGTTCCGCAAGGCCGGGAATTGTGGGGACGGCATTCAAACCCTCCCGAGATTCGTGTACCAAGACACGCAAATAATCCGCCCCTCGGTGCAAGCCGTCACCATAGTCCTCATCGTTATTTTTGTCGTCATTCGTGTTGTCACACTCAAAGCCGGTGAGGGAAGGCGCTGCCATGATAATTGTGACATCACCCTGAATAAAAGAACGTAATGCCTCAAAGGGTGCCGAGTGCAGGCATCCCGTCAGGCAGCGACACGCCGCACTCCTGAAGAAAGCCGATAAAAGACCGTAGAAAAAGCTTTCATCCGCCATCGTAATCTCGTCCAGCGGGTTCGTCCTCTTCTACTCCTTCGGCGCCTCGTCCTTCTCCGCAGCACCAGCTGCCGCTGCCGTAGATCACGCTCCTGCCGCAATCACTCTCACAGAGGGACAAGGAAGAGTGTGTGGATGTGTGCCGAGAGCACAGCAACTGTTGTCGCCGGAAAAGGCCATCGTGGCACCGTCCGTCACGCGCCAGCACAAAAACGGCAACGACCGCAACCGGCAGAGCAAAAACAAAAAGCTGATAAAAGAATGACCCCAAGAGAAGGCAGTGCTTTCACGTATGGCGGACATCGTGCAGCCGCGTCATCATTTCAGCACGGAACGTCAGCCAACGTCCCTCGTTACCAAAAACATTCCTGCAGAGCACTGTGGAAATACTCATTTGCGTGTGTGCTGGAGAAGCTGCAAAGAGAAGCACAAGGAGGCACATCAACACAGCAAGAGGCACAGCTGGATGGCAGCAATACATGCGGCACGGCACAACCTCAACAATCACGCACGGTGGCAGCACACGCCCATCCAGAGAAAAGAAAAGAAAAAAAAACACGGCGGCAGGGTGTGGCTGTGTGTGTGGCGCTGCGGATGTCTGCCAGCCCTTACCGCAAACAAAACAAAACAAGAGGGGATAAATGTGTGCTCCGCCCCACAGGCCCTCGTCGCACGCCCACACGTCACGGCTCCCTCAGCGCGCCGTTCGTCGCGGCCCCTCCTCATGCGTGCGGCAGGCGAGGCGCACAGGGCCGTCGTCATGAGCGTGTCGGTGGGTGTGCGAGTGGAGCAGTTGGGCGGGAAACACACGGCACCCCTCGCAGGAAGAGTGCAGCGAAAAACAATTAAAGAGGGAAGAGTAGAAAAGAAAAAACGTCCATAGTGATTGCCCCCAAAAGCAAAAAAGAAAGATGAGGGGGTCAGTAATTAAAAAAAAACGGACGAATTAATAACAAAAAAAGACTGGCAAAAAATTTAAAGCAAACAGAAAAAAAATTTGAACTTACAAAAAAACGAAACAAAAAGCCGAAGCGTGGGACGACCAGCGCACACACTCTCATTGCTCCCGTAAAGCAAAACACACACACAGAGGGAGAGAGAGAGGTCGCCCACTCAATGCAATGGAAACAAAACAGAAACAGTTACGGTGCTCCGTCCATGCAGCCAGGCAGGACGGCAGCGGTGCGTGTCGTGCAAAAGAGAGCACCAACGGGCCTGCATGGGTGTGCATGCATATATACAATGGGCACATTATTGTGTGTGCCTCGTGGGGTGAGGTGAGGGCGAGAGTCCATGCAAGGGGACACACACACAGAGAGAGAAGGACGAGTGTGTGTGCGGGCGGTGCACGGCTCTCTCTCCCTCACTCTCACGCGGCCACCACCGCAGCAGCAGCCGCACACGCAACAACAAGAAGAAGAAGCAAAAGAGGGGAGGTGGCGTGGGAGGCCGCGGTGCTGCCGTCACTGTCGCCTGTATTTGCGGTGGCATTTGTACGAAGGGCGTTTTTATCTTTCGCGGATTCTTCGCCACTTTCCGCGGGGTGTTCATGCTGTTGGTGTTGTTGGACTTGTGCTTCATCACTTTGCTGCTGCTGTTCATGATCTTCTTCTTCTTCCTCTTCTTGTCGTGTGTGTCCAGTGCCGGATGTCGTTCCTTCCGGTCCTTCGGGTGGCGAGGTGTCGTTAGCCTCTACTGCAGCAGACGTCTGATCTCCTGTTAAAGAGTCCCCTGTTGTGTTAGATGGATTAGTGCCTGGTGACCCCGCCTCACCATCACTGCCGCTAGCTGGAGTAGCATCAACAGGAGCGGAAGGACCACCAGGAGCAGCAGCAGGAGGTGCAGCAGCAGCAAGAGGAGCAGCAGGAGCAGGAGAAGGACCAGAAGGAACGCTGCCGGTGCCATGACCGCCAGCAGAAGTTCCACTGCCTTGACCTCCAGAACCGCCTCCGCCACCAGAACTGTCTCCACCACCAGCAGCCGCAGGAGCAACAGCACCAGAAGAATCACCAGAAGAAGCACCAGAACCACCAGGTCCACCAGCAGGACCACCACCAGGAGAACCACCAGCGTTGGAAGTTTCCCTTGAATTCGAATTGTTCTGTATTACACCACCAGCAGAATCTCCTCCATCCGAGGCTTCGACGGCAGTAATGGGCAGTACTGACCGCAAAGGCACCGTAATCGCAGTTTTATTACATCCGTCAGGCATGTGGGATCCATTCTCACCCAACACTCCCGACGACATGCAGCCACCCAGTGCGTTGGTGTCAACGTCCCTCGCATAAACACCGCCGGCAACGCACCGCAGCACGCAGAGGGCACACACCAGCAGCACACGGCCGGTCATCATCATCGCCATCACTCCTGTCACTTGCGTGCAGCCTTCAGCACAAACTAACCCCCGTCAACGCAAAAAGCAAAAGGAGAGACGAGTCATTCAGCCACGCACCGTCCCATCCAGCAATGAGAGTCACACACCACAACAACAATTGGGTGGGCACGGCTCAACAACAATCAAAACAAAAGAGGGGCGCTCCTCGCCCGTGCACCGTTCCTCACACTCCCACAGTCACCACTACTGTTATTCCCTCTCTCCTCAGTCCCTCACAGGCACGCCACGCTCACTCCAACACGCGCCCCTCACAGCACAGGCAGTCCGTCATGCGATCCCGCTGCGCCGCAACGTCGTGCCGCCCCTCCTCCCAAATCATGAGCGCAACGCCCAACGCGTACTGGCCCACGTGCTCCATGCGCTGTAATCACACACGGATCAGGTTGGCCGTCATGCACTGCAACTTGTCGTCCTTCTGCTTGGAGCAGACCCTCACACCCTCTCAATCCACAGCCTGGGTGCTGCGAGAGGCGGCCGAGTAGTGCCACGTGTCTGAAGATCCAAATGTACGGAAACAACGGCCACCCTCACTCCCTCACACATCTCCACTCCCTTCACTGTCCCGCACACAAGGGCGGTGTCATGGCGAGGAGAAGCCCGCTGCACAGCAAATGCACAGGGACACACACAATAGCCGTGCCATCCACGTCGCACCGCAAGTAACAGCTATGCGCCCAGCACACACACAAAAGCTGGGAAAAAGGGACGGGGCGTCACCAAAACCACGCTGCAGTCCTTTACTTCTCTCTTCCCCGGCGGATTGGCATTGCGTCCCACACCCACAGTGAGGCACGGCGCACACAGTCCGCTCCCTCCATGTGCACTCAGCAGGCCGCCGCCCAGTCACCCTCGTACCGTCGTAACGGGGAACAGAAACAATCGCCGTCGCGGACCATCGGTGCCACTGGCAGAAAAGAAGAAGTGGGGGCATTTCAACAGCGCAGACAGCAGAGGTACAGTCAACGGGACAAGTAGACACACAGTGACAGTGGATACGGTAACAACGGAAGCACGCTGCGGTGAGTTACCAAAGAAAAGGAAAAAGTGAGAGTCCGGCATGACCCTCAAAAGAAACAATTAGGAAAATAGATTAGGTCGTAATTTTATTTCATGCGCCACGCAACGCAATAGAAACGACCGGGTGCATACATTTTTCCCGCACAAGAAACGGAAAGTAAGAAAAAAAAAGATCGTACTCTTCCACCAGCCCACACAACTCTCCTCACATTTCATTGAGGCATCCGGCCTGTCTCTCCAATCCTCCTTTCGTGCAGTCCGTGGGACGCACAGCAATGAGGCCGGCACCGCGTGTGGGCAACAGAAACAAAACAAGAGGAGAAGCACGTCACCCATGACAGTGTGCAGCAACCGACCATTAAATAAAGAAACTGCAAGGATGCTTATCATTCCAGGAAGGCAACAAAGCCAACAGTAAAATGTAAATAATAAAAGAAAACACGCAGGGAACGCGGCACATGTTCTCTGCGAGGAGTCGCAATTCCACACTCTTCGGCTCACAATACCGCCACAACTCCACACACTCCAAGAAGAAGCAGCAACGCCCAATACACACACACACGCACAGTGCTGCCAACAGTTAACTCTCGCAGTGTCAATTTCGCGTCGTTGAGCGGGGCAAAGCAGTCGTGTAGACTCGCACCGCTCCCGGAATACTGCGCGGTGAATTTTCGTAATTGGGTTTGCTCTCTTGTCCAGAGGCAATGCGTTGAGTCAATCCGCCCGCATCACCCCCAGCAACAAATCCACTGCCTGCAACGGCATTTTCTGAAACGAGAGATTTGTGTCCAGTGGCGCTGCGCTCACTCACCTCGTCCGTGTTATCCGCAGCAACGTGTTCCCTGCCGCCATAGGTGACAGACACGATCCCGGATGCATTCGACGCCACTAATATTCTCGGACCGTTGGCGAAGGAAGGCCTCTTCTTGGATGCATTCGGGACCATCACTTCGTTCGGATTGCTGGCAAACTCAGGCCTCGTCTCGGACGTGTTGGTAGTCGTGTTGGATGCGGGACTCGGATCGACGGTGTTGGGTCCGTCAGCCGCCGCAGACCGTCGCCGATCCTCGTGTTGACGTGACGGCTCAGCATTGACTTGCGGCGCAGTTGTCCCACCAGATTTTGTGTCATCCTTCCCTTCACGGGGCGGCAACTGACAGATGCCCGTCTGGTCAGCATCGCCGCTCCGTGCAGGCGGATGGATGGTTCCATCGGGAGAAAATTGATGCCGCCACAATTCATAAGGGCCGGCGTATTTGTGCGCCGTCACATTCATCGTGAAGGCAACGGTGGCCCCTTCCTCTTCCGCTGCACAGCTGGCAGCACAGTTGCTACATGTGTGCACCGCATGGGCCACATGGCACACAGCACCCAGCTCACCATTCCTGCCATGCATGCGCACACCAAAGCCACTGAAAGTGTAATTCTCATGCTGAGCCTCAGCACTGGCAGCAGAACACTTCTTCCACGCCCACACACACACACGCGATAGCTCAGGCTGCCGTCACTCGGAGCACACGACACATCCACCGGCACTACCACCGCATCCGCATCACCAGATACATCTCCAGCACTCCCAGCAGCCGTCACACACACGGACGAGCAGCAGCAGCACAAGAGCGCAAGGACCAACACGGCGCCGCACCGTCACCATCGTCACCATCGCAGTCATCGTCACGCGTAGTGGAGTCGCTGGAGTCAGTCAGCTGATCGGTGAGGCAGAAGAAAAAGAATGCAACAAGAGAGAGAGGGACGGAGCACAGCGGATACAGCGAGAGGGAGCAGACAACATGAGGAGTGGCAGCAGTCCCAGCCGCACAGTTCACACACCACGAGACGGCATCCACGCAAGGAAGGCACACAACGCCAGCAGCCGCCCACCATGCAGGAGGAGACATCCACCACCATCTACCACAGCTCATCTCCACACCCAAAGGGAAACAGCAAAAACGCCGCGGCCACCACACAACGCACACGGAGCGAGCACCCACCACACCAGCCACATGCGGAAGCGAACCCTCATCCATTAGCGACGCGGCAGAAAACTTTCCAGCCATCCCGCCCTCAACGAGAAACGGAGCCCAACTCAACGCAGTCACACGCGGTGCATCACACCCGCAGGAAAATAGACTCGGGCTGCGCACTCCTCCCCCTCCCTTCTCCTCATGGCCACGGAAGAAGACAACAGCCGCCACACGCAACTGCCAGCATGCACCGCAAAAGAAGCATTCAAATCCACTGCAATGTGCATATTGTGGTTGTGTGGTTGTGTGTGCCTGCAGAAACACAAAACAAAAAAAAACAGCGACCAGAGCATGTGGAGAGACGCACAAAATGTACAGCGGAGGTGCATGGCGGAAACAACAAGAAGAAGGCCGCTCAAACTCATGACTGCACTGCAGCCCAAGCAATGGCAATTCACAAAAGATTTATTTAAAACCCCCCCCCAAAAAAAAACAACGTTCCCCTTCGTCTTAAATAAACCCCATCACACAAAATAATTATAAATAAAAAAAAGAAATCGTCCATCACTGTTCCACACAAATTTAAACAATCGCCTGGCTGCCGTGTGGCCACACCAAACTGTCCGCATTTATTTTGCCCGCAAAAGAAAATTAAAAGATATTTAAATGTCCTTCAACCGTCTGACCCTCCGCGTGTCCGCACATCGTTTATATTTCATGCGGTCATCTGCGCGTTGCTGCTCCCCTCAGCCCTCTCATCGGCGTGCGAGTGCGGCCCGCAGAGCACAGTCACTCGTGTGTGTGAAGGGAAGTGAGAGAAGCACGCAGACACGACGGGAGTCGCGTCACTCCATCGGGAGAGTGAGCGCAGCAAAAGAAAAGAAATCATCGGAGGGGAAAAGAAATGCTCACGAGGCCGACACCGAAGGGACTGCCGGCGCGAGAAATGCACACGCAAAGCAAAAAAAACATTACTTTAAAGAAAAACACGGCGGCAGGGTGTGGCTGTGTGTGTGTGTGTGGCGCTGCGGGTGTCTGCCAGCCCTGGCCGCAAAGAAAAAAAAAAAACAGGGAAAGAAATGTGTGCGCCGCCCCACAGGCCCTCGTCGCACGCCCACACGTCACGGCTCCCTCAGCGCGCCGTTCGTCGCGGCCCCTCCTCATGCGTGCAGCAGGCGAGGCGCACAGGGCCGTCGTCATGAGCGTGTCGGTGGGTGTGCGAGTGGAGCAGTTGGGCGGAAACACACGGCACCCTCGCAGGAAGAGTGCAGCAACAAACAATTAAAAGAGGGAAGAGTAGAAAAGAAAAAACGTCCATATTGACTGCCCCCAAAAGCAAAAAGAAAAAGAATGGTTTAGTAAAATATATAAACGCTCATAGAAGAAGCAAATTAAAAAAATTAAATTTAGAAAAAAAAAACAAGAAAAAATTTACGATGCTCCGCCCATGCAGCCAGGCAGGACGGCAGCGGTGCGTGTCGTGCAAAAGAGAGCACCAACGGGCATGCATGGGTGTGCATGCATATATACAATGGGCACATTATTGTGTGTGCCTCGTGGGGTGAGGTGAGGGCGAGAGTCCATGCAAGGGGACACACACACACAGAGAGAGAAGGAAGAGTGTGTGTGCGGGCGGTGCATGGCTCTCTCACACTCACTCTCACGCGGCCACCACCGCAGCCGCAGCCGCACAAACCACGAAACAGATGGAATCAGTGCGATTGCAGAACTCGCACACCGTCCTGCAAACCAGAAGTTTAAAAAGCAATATGAAACAAGAATTCAAAAAAAAATGGAAAAAACTTAGGCTTCTGCGGGAATCGAACCCGCGTCCCCGGATGACATTGTGAGCGTGTTTGCCACTGAGCTATAGAAATGCGGTCGCGCGACCCCTTTTCACGTAAAGTATTAATTTCGATCTTCGAACAATCGAGCACATTTGCGTTGTCCCCTGGAAAACGAAAACGACATGTTTAGGGTGCGCCG